TTTATATAATACCATTGGAAAAAAAAAAATTGGTCATAAAATCTAAAACCATAAGTCAACTCTTGCTTATATCATAAAATTAATTTATCAAATGTCACGGTCCACTTATTCTCTCATTCATTAAATAATATAATAACAACCGAGTAAATTATCATCGTAATATATAAGTTTCAAACTATATTATTGCAAAAATTAATTATGAGTCAATGAGTTAATACAATATAAGTCACGTATGTAACCCAAAGCAACTTTCCTTCTTTCTTTTTTTTCATTCATGAGACTCATCCAAAAGCGTATTTTCGTCTATAAGAGAAACACTCAAGTCATGAGATTAGAAGAAATAGTAAACTGATATTAGGGTTAGAGAAAAGAGATAGAAGTAGAGAAGAACGAGAATAATCAACTGCTAAGTTTAGGTTGCCCTACACTCTTGTTTATAACTGTGCAATATTATAGTAATTAAAATATTACCCTACACAGACTCACTTATGTTTAATATATAAAATAAGAACTCTAACACTTCCCCTCAAGCTGAAACATACAGATCAAAAATGCCCAACCTGGAACATAAATTACTAAAGGCGGACCAAGTCAACGACTTCGTAAGAATATCACCTAGTTGATCATCAAACTTGATGTATGGAGTGATGATCTCCTTTCACATCATAGTTATCAAATCGTGTATCGGAAGGCGTATCGTAAGATACAAATATTGTATCGTATCGTGTATCGTATCGTGTATCGTAAGATACGATGCAATTTTAAATAAATAATAAAAAAATATATATACCTTTGAAAAAAAGTCATACACTCATAAAAAATATAGCATTTCATTAATACTCCACCAACTATTCAAGTTATCAACATAATCCACTACTATTATAATGCAAAGTTCACAACCATAGTTCACTAATTCAAACTTTAAACACCAAAGAGACTTCTAATCCAAATTTCTAACATCCATTTTGAACTCAATCTTCAATTTCAATTGAAAATGCATCATCATCATCATCATTGTGATCGGATGCCAACAAGTCTTCACTTGTCGTTTTTTTAAAAAAAAAATCAGAGCACAAAACGACATCGTTTTAAAAAAAAAAAAAAAAAAAAAAAAAAAAAAATTGCACGTATCGTGCGTATCGTACCGATACGTATCGTATCGTAAAAACGTATCGTGTATCGGACGATACAACGCAAAAACGATACATAACTACGATCCGTATCGTTTTAGGGCTGTATCGTAACGTATCGTACGATACGTATCGCGTATCGTACGATACTAACAACTTTGTTTCACATCAAGATATTTCGAATGAACCGACAATCCACCTCAATGTGTTTGGTACACTCATAAAATATCGGATTATTTGCGATGAAAATATCTGCTTGATTATCACAATGCATCTTCATAGGAAAAGACACATCATATCCTATATCACCGAGTAAAGAAAAGACCCGTGGCATCTCACAAACATAATGTGTGTAAACCACCGTGTATTTATAAATATATAGATAACAAGTTAAATGTGTTGCCTGTATGAATCATTAATTAGGGAGACGTAAAGGATAATGAGATCCTACCTTAGTATTTGATCTATAACTTTTTAGTTGGACATTAAATTGATCTGCAATTTTGACGAAAAAAATTTGATCCCAAGAGTTACAAAGATGTATGTCACAAAAATTTCATAAATCAACTTCTTAGTAGGTCAAAACTGGACTAAACGTTGAAGCAAGAAACTGGGTTCACGTTCGAACGAAAATAATGTTTGAACCCCAGTTAATCACAATACTTTGGTATCTGATAGAAAGTCTGACTGAATTCGAGATACTAGGAGCTCACAACGTTCGAACCCCTAGTCACGTTTGAAAAGCGGCGGCCCAAGGTCAAGTGGGGCCCTAGGTGAAAACTTTATATGAGGCCCTATTAATATTTTGTTTAATTTTATTTTTTATTTTTTGAAATGCAAAATATTGATCAAGTTTTGACAATAAATATTCTCAAATAGATAATAATAATACAGTTAATTCATTTAATGATAAAATATGAGTAAAGAATTATTTTAATATAACAAATAATTATTCTTTATCCATGAGCTCTGTGCACGCATGAAGTATAAACACACCCAAAAGAGCTAGAAAAACTTAAATAAAAGCTCACAAAAAGAGTAATTTTGGACCTAACAAAATTATGTATTGAATTGGACAATTAAAATTTGGGCCTAAAAATTTGAATTATATCTAAAATACTATTATAACTACTAAAAAAACATAAGCCTACTATACTATAGGGATAAATTTTATGAAGGCCCTCCAAAATTTGGGCTTAACTAAGTAGAGAGTAATTTTGGACTTAACAAAATTAAATATTAATTTGAACTTTTAAAATTTGGGCATTAAAATTTTGGATCATACCAAAAAAAAAAAAAAATAGGTCTATTATACTGAAGGAGTACATTTTTTTGNAATAATTTTTTTCAAACCCTTTTGCAGAAATGTTTCAATAGCTTGTTTTGCAACCGGTTCCCTACACCTGAGCTAATATTTTTTCTTTGAAGTTGGCATCTACCGTGTTCTATTATTCATTTTTATACACCAAAAAATTCACAAAGTCTGTTGGCATTATCATTAAGTTTGGGCAGTTGGTGGCTTGGCACATAGCTACGGTGATAATCAAATTTTGTGAGAAAATCAAAAATAGCAAAAAATTAGCTCCTATTCTTCTATGCATTTGGATTTTTTTATTTCAAGCTTCTGTTAAGTAAATTATCTAAAATCAACTAAGTCCCAATAAATATTAAGTGAATTAACAATATTATCAATCGAAAAAGATATGACAGTGAAACTTGAATATAATAACTTAATTAATAATTTTGCATCTCAAAATATGAAAAGAATAAATTTTAAATAAATTATTAATATTAAAAATAAAGGCCTCTTTTTAGTTGTGATTTTAAGTCCTAAAATGTCACGTATGTGTTCTGTTTTTGTGTTGGCTTGGGTTACATTGATGTACATGATTTCAATTTCCTCAATATGAAACATACCTATAGCCAAATTTCAAAACCAAGAAAAAGAAAAAGGTATTCGTTTTTGTTTCAATCTGTCATCGAGGATGCTGCTGCCTTTGTTCGACAATATGTTTAAATTGATTCCAAAGTGTACTCATTGCTTCATCTTCTATATGCCGATTATAATCAGATGTCTTCTATCTTTTGCGGCATCATGTTATTATGCTCTACAAATTAATTAGAAATTTTGAATGTTCTTAGAGATAGGGCTGATAATTGAACCGAACTATTCTGGTTCGACTCATCTTGGACTTGGTTCATTTTTTAAATAAGTTGAATTTGTACAAATTTTTAAACTCATTTAGAAAAATGAGTTTGACAAGTTTAACTCAAACAAACAAAATTCGACTTGATTATCAGCACTACCTACCTAGAAATTCCTATATTTTTATCTTATCAGCGCTACCTACCTAGAGATTCCTATATTTTTATCTTATGCAACACAACAAAACAGCTCCGTAACTTTTAGACAATTGTGCATAACATGCACCCACTTCCTCTTCGTTTGTGGGTTCCAGCCCTAGCAGGGAAATTTACCCAACAAAAAGAGTTGTTGGAAGTAGTAGTGGCTGAAGAACACCTGCATCCAAACGTTGAGGGAAAACAACAAAACACACACGCCCAGTGGGACTCGAACCCACAATCGCCTGATTAGAAGTCAGACGCCTTATCCATTAGGCCATGGGCGCCGTTCCGCTTGCGTTCTGGTAGATATTGAATTTGTAACTGTGTTGGTTTCTTACAAGTTACATACAAAACAATATACAAGTCAACTATAGCCATTGTCTGAATAACTTCTAACCTTATCTTCCACAACCAAAGTATTTAGGTTCAGTTTATTGACACCTCCATAGAAAACTTCCCGGAAAAAAAAATACTTTTCGGGACATAATGCAGAGAAAATCCTTCACATTTGAGAAATGAAATGGGGTTGCTTATCAGTTTTAAATAGTAGTGTCATTAACAAATGACCATTTCCGCTCTTGAAGGGTACTTATTGTATCATTGCCCTCAATTTAACCATATAAATAATCTTTTAATCAGCCCTTCCAACTCAAACTACCTACCGGACATGAAGTATGAAATCCAAAAAACCGGTAAAAAACTTCAATTGTACTCGTGAAAGAGAAAAAAAAAAAAAAAAAAGGGGCATCCGAAGACATCTTCCACCATTACCGGAATTAAAGAGAATTACCAGAGACTTATCACCACAAGAAGCTCCTTTATTAAACCTGGTCCTTCACACTTTGAACATCGCTCCTAGGATCGTTGAGGCCTCATGAAGACAGCTTCCCACAGCGGTAATGCCAAAGGTGTAATTACCGGAATTGCTTTAGGAATTTGATTCTCTTTCCTTAATCTTCGAGGCAATGGGATAACATGTGCTCGCAATTTTACCCCCTGCAAGTTACAGAGAATATTTCTGCAACTTAAAACCTTGACGCCCAAGTTGCAAGGGAAAAAGCCTACAACTGCGCCCAGGCCTACCCTTAAATTTTAGTCTCAGCCAAAAATGAGGAGTTTGTTTTTCAAATGCCTAAGAACCTTCATATAATTTTTGTTAAAGATCAACAATGTTAAGAATAGTGATAAGCTGAATTTATTAACTAACACGTGTCATTTACCAGTCATCCATATACTTCAAAGACCACTCTGCCTCGATAATACCTGTCATTCTTCATGAACTACCACATCTATCACAAACCACATTCAGTAAATTTGCCTCGCCTGGTAAGTAAATCAACCTCAAACACTATCAACAATTCGTTACCACAATAATTTCTAAGTTCAGTGACTGTAGTATCTAAAACAGCCGCCGCAAAATTTTTCCCGAAGCTGCATTCTAAAGTGATCTTAGGCCCACGCTTTCATTGATTGTCAATACTAAAAGAAGCGACAAATCATAGATCTTGAAAAGGAAGAAGACTGCTTCAACAAGAAGTGAATACACAGTTCATCAGAAACAAAATCCAATAGCTCAATTTAACCCAAACCGGGTTTACTTGTTTGAATACCATAAAACACATTACAAAATCAATTTCGGTAGGTGACTTCAATATGTTACTAAGAGTGGGCAAAATAGATATAGTTTCCATCAGAACATGAAATGCCTAGTGTACATTCATGTTAGATACAAAATTTGAAGATAGTCTTTGAAACCATGATGAAGTCCAGCACCAGTTGCAAATATTAGGCGGAAGCAATGGCTTAAAATGAGGCAAACATAAGCACTCTAATCTTCAAGCTCAATAATCTTGACCACAGATGAATCCCCAACTTTTTGGCAAATCACAACCCTGTCATGCGACTTTATTACTCCTGAAGCCTTTCCATGATCCAGTGCAACCTTCAGAACTGATTCATTTGTCGCGTTAAGAGACTTAGCCTGCAAAGTCAAGTAGGTGAGCATCAGACTTAATGTGATCTATATCAAGAATGACCTATACAGTGACCCCACACACAAAATGAATGACATCCACAAATATTAAATAGAACTGCTCTTCCTTTTTTTCGGGTAAGTGCTCTTATTCTTTAATTCAATGAACTGCATAATTTTGCTTATAGCATTTATTGTATTGTACAACATAGAATGGCGAAAAAGGGCAAGTTGACGGTTCGGTAAATCAACATTACTACAGATTTGTATCCTTGCAGACTTTGTATGAATCAGAACAAGACAAGTGACTTCAGCTTTGGGTCCATCATAATAGAGCCACATTTACTCATGAGACGAACAAATAAAAGGCAAGCCAACCAGCGCTTGAAATGAAGCCCCCAAAGCTTTAGCCGAGATTGAACATAGTGGAAAGTCGGCACGCCATGGATGAACAATCTCTAGCTTGGGTCTTGCTCAGCTAGCCTCGGCTCATTAGCAGCCCGCAACCACAGACAGCACTCCAACTAGCATGACCAAGGACAGAACCAAGATATTATGGTGGGGGGGTAAAATAGACTTAGTGACACCGTCAAAAATTTATTTAATGGGATCATTGAACATGTTGCAACCAACTTTTATATAATACCATTGGAAAAAAAAAAATTGGTCATAAAATCTAAAACCATAAGTCAACTCTTGCTTATATCATAAAATTAATTTATCAAATGTCACGGTCCACTTATTCTCTCATTCATTAAATAATATAATAACAACCGAGTAAATTATCATCGTAATATATAAGTTTCAAACTATATTATTGCAAAAATTAATTATGAGTCAATGAGTTAATACAATATAAGTCACGTATGTAACCCAAAGCAACTTTCCTTCTTTCTTTTTTTTCATTCATGAGACTCATCCAAAAGCGTATTTTCGTCTATAAGAGAAACACTCAAGTCATGAGATTAGAAGAAATAGTAAACTGATATTAGGGTTAGAGAAAAGAGATAGAAGTAGAGAAGAACGAGAATAATCAACTGCTAAGTTTAGGTTGCCCTACACTCTTGTTTATAACTGTGCAATATTATAGTAATTAAAATATTACCCTACACAGACTCACTTATGTTTAATATATAAAATAAGAACTCTAACACTTCCCCTCAAGCTGAAACATACAGATCAAAAATGCCCAACCTGGAACATAAATTACTAAAGGCGGACCAAGTCAACGACTTCGTAAGAATATCACCTAGTTGATCATCAAACTTGATGTATGGAGTGATGATCTCCTTTCACATCATAGTTATCAAATCGTGTATCGGAAGGCGTATCGTAAGATACAAATATTGTATCGTATCGTGTATCGTATCGTGTATCGTAAGATACGATGCAATTTTAAATAAATAATAAAAAAATATATATACCTTTGAAAAAAAGTCATACACTCATAAAAAATATAGCATTTCATTAATACTCCACCAACTATTCAAGTTATCAACATAATCCACTACTATTATAATGCAAAGTTCACAACCATAGTTCACTAATTCAAACTTTAAACACCAAAGAGACTTCTAATCCAAATTTCTAACATCCATTTTGAACTCAATCTTCAATTTCAATTGAAAATGCATCATCATCATCATCATTGTGATCGGATGCCAACAAGTCTTCACTTGTCGTTTTTTTAAAAAAAAAATCAGAGCACAAAACGACATCGTTTTAAAAAAAAAAAAAAAAAAAAAAAAAAAAAAATTGCACGTATCGTGCGTATCGTACCGATACGTATCGTATCGTAAAAACGTATCGTGTATCGGACGATACAACGCAAAAACGATACATAACTACGATCCGTATCGTTTTAGGGCTGTATCGTAACGTATCGTACGATACGTATCGCGTATCGTACGATACTAACAACTTTGTTTCACATCAAGATATTTCGAATGAACCGACAATCCACCTCAATGTGTTTGGTACACTCATAAAATATCGGATTATTTGCGATGAAAATATCTGCTTGATTATCACAATGCATCTTCATAGGAAAAGACACATCATATCCTATATCACCGAGTAAAGAAAAGACCCGTGGCATCTCACAAACATAATGTGTGTAAACCACCGTGTATTTATAAATATATAGATAACAAGTTAAATGTGTTGCCTGTATGAATCATTAATTAGGGAGACGTAAAGGATAATGAGATCCTACCTTAGTATTTGATCTATAACTTTTTAGTTGGACATTAAATTGATCTGCAATTTTGACGAAAAAAATTTGATCCCAAGAGTTACAAAGATGTATGTCACAAAAATTTCATAAATCAACTTCTTAGTAGGTCAAAACTGGACTAAACGTTGAAGCAAGAAACTGGGTTCACGTTCGAACGAAAATAATGTTTGAACCCCAGTTAATCACAATACTTTGGTATCTGATAGAAAGTCTGACTGAATTCGAGATACTAGGAGCTCACAACGTTCGAACCCCTAGTCACGTTTGAAAAGCGGCGGCCCAAGGTCAAGTGGGGCCCTAGGTGAAAACTTTATATGAGGCCCTATTAATATTTTGTTTAATTTTATTTTTTATTTTTTGAAATGCAAAATATTGATCAAGTTTTGACAATAAATATTCTCAAATAGATAATAATAATACAGTTAATTCATTTAATGATAAAATATGAGTAAAGAATTATTTTAATATAACAAATAATTATTCTTTATCCATGAGCTCTGTGCACGCATGAAGTATAAACACACCCAAAAGAGCTAGAAAAACTTAAATAAAAGCTCACAAAAAGAGTAATTTTGGACCTAACAAAATTATGTATTGAATTGGACAATTAAAATTTGGGCCTAAAAATTTGAATTATATCTAAAATACTATTATAACTACTAAAAAAACATAAGCCTACTATACTATAGGGATAAATTTTATGAAGGCCCTCCAAAATTTGGGCTTAACTAAGTAGAGAGTAATTTTGGACTTAACAAAATTAAATATTAATTTGAACTTTTAAAATTTGGGCATTAAAATTTTGGATCATACCAAAAAAAAAAAAAAATAGGTCTATTATACTGAAGGAGTACATTTTTTTGGGGGCCCTAGGCAAGCACCTTTAGTTGCCTAGGGGTTGGGTCAGCCCTTTATTTGAACGCCAATATAATTTTAACAACGAACAAACTTGCAATTCTTGTTCATAAACTGACCCTCCTTAGCCATATTTTATCAATTTAGAACCCTAGAAAACCCTAGATAGTGAGAAGGGAGAAAATAAGATTTGGAAGGATTTTCACGTAGAAGACAAATTGAACACGCTAAGGATTGCATCAAACCAAGGATGATCAAAGGTAAGGATTTCTACTCTGAATCGTATGTATATGATAGGTAATTCTTAAATTATGTGTTCTTGTAAATTATATCATGTTTTGAATAGGATTATCGTTTGATAACCATTAAAATATTGTTCTTGTTATCAAAACCCTAGTTTTGAATAACTATCAAGTTTTCCACACGACATTCACATGTTCTTGATTTCTAAAATTCTAATATTTGATTTCGAACAACACAATTATGTTTTTTAATGATCTATTGTATTGTTTCCTTGAATGATTCATCGCAAAGTGCTGAACTGGACAGGAACAGACGGCTGGAGGCTGAACCCAAGCAGAAAAGTGCTGAACCGGAACAGAAACAGCCTGCTGAAGGCTGAACCGGAGCAGAAGAGTGCTGAATCGACCTGAACTGAGCTGGATAATGGCTGACCAAGCCTGATCAATGTACCTGGGCTAGAACTAAATGGATTGGACCAAAGTAGGTTGGGCCCCAGTTAAATCAATTAAGTCCAACCAAGAGATTGGGCTCAATTAATTTTGACCCAAACCAGAATATGACTTTCCAGTGGCAAACAGGAGTAGAACAAACTTTCCCCCGGAGCCAAACACCACTCTCTTCTACAATCAACCAGACTGCAACACAAAATAAACGACTTTGCCACCAGCAAAAGAAACGCAGACCACAACAGCGAAAAACCAAAGTAAAACCATACGTCTACACCTCAAACACAATCACCCAGTACACAACTGAAATCAAATCACAATCGAGGGCTCGATTTGATCAACTGTGCAGCAACATCACACGAACAACACTTCGCTGGCAATGAACAGACTGGGCGATGAACGGACTGGGCGATGAACGAAAACTGGTGCTGGGAAAAAAATTTACTGCCCACCCATTAACAATTCCTCAATGAATCTCAAATCCTCACACTTAGATGGCGTTGAAATAAACTGGATGTGGAAAGGAAAACAGGAGAATTTTGGGAGCTTATTAGAATTGCTCTGATACCAAGTAGAAAGAGTAAATTGATATCAGGGTTATAGAAAAAGAGATGGAAGTAGAGAAGAAAGAGAATAATATGTTGTTTAGGTTGTCCTACACTCTTATTTACAACTGTGTAATATTATAGTAATTACAATATTACCCTACACAAACTAACTTATGTTTAATATATAAAATAAGAACTCTAACAAGATTAATATCTCCAATTTTGTTATTAAATGTCAGAGTATTAGGTTCTTTGAAAACACTAATTAAATTACAGTACCCATATAGAAATTGTTGAAAACCTAGGAGAAGACGTTGAGTTTTTGAAAATCTAGTGGGGATATAGTGTAATTTTAAAAAAGTCGAGGGGAGACATGACCCCCCTTGGATTCAATGTGGTTTCTTCAATGCACGTGACAATAGGATTTGCAGGAAGAACACAACCTGAAGCCTATCAAGGTACAAACCAAGGGGTTCATGTAGGCAGCACTCAGATAACCCGGCAAAAGAAAGAATAATTATTTTGCTCTGAAATATTCCCAGCTTTGGTCCTGTGTTGATAGATTTTTCCACACCAAATTATGACAGTCTGGAAAGTCGTGCCCGGGGAATATATCCAACAAAAACATGGGTTTATATCTAGTCCAGTAAAAGATATACAAAAATTAATAAATGTAGTAATAATAATAATGGCCTGCTTTAATACCATGGGGGTTTATAGTTAGTCAAAATCGTTTTGCGTAGCATTTCAAGTGTAAATCATCCTTAAGAAGGAGGCCATTGCGACAAAAAGAAATCTAAATATGTTTCAAATGGGCAATATAATTCTAATAAGACATGGGAATGATGGCATTCGAATGATGAATATGTAATTAGGGTCCCATAAATGTTTCCTGAAGGAACACATTAAAAGGATATCAAATGCAATTTCAACCCTCAACAGCAATATCAACAATAAAGTTAATTAAGAACTTACAGAATGTCGAGGATCAGCAAGCAATGGGAAAAGACCTCTGACTATAAGTGATTGCCTTGCCTAACCATTCAGATAGAGAGACAATCATAGAGCCATTAGCTTAAATACTAACTCCAGATGTAAAAGGTAGAAAAAGGAAAATTTTAAGAATAGAAAAAAAACACCATGAAACTTTGACATAACAAACAGAGTTCACTCCAGAAGATGTAAGTTTCGGAAAACCAAATTTTAATGTTCCTTTGTAAGTACAAATTACAATCTCATGTATCTTAATGGTAAGCAATATCAAGCATCAAACATTCTCATTAGTTTAGCGTTACAAGGCATAATAAAAAAGACTATTGAGCTTCATCCATGTAAACAGCTACTAGAATTAGATTGATGTGTAAGTACCACCATGTTAGCTTGAAGAAGTAACCTCAGCATAAAAGGCCAAAGAAACTTCTAAGTCAAGAAGACATTAAGCAATGGTGATATAGGAGACAAAAGACCACACATGGTGTTTAAGATGTCATACATATAACAGAATTACTGTCAGTCTCCAAATTGTAACCACAAAAGAGAACGGTTAGAGAGGGATGGAGTTATCATTCAAGGATTACTATGACTGTCATAATATCAGAAACAGGGCAAACTAGCATATCACTTGGTCTGTTCAAACTATGAAATTGCCTTCTGTTTCCAATATATCTTTCTCACACTGCAAACTCCTCACTTAATTGGTTATTTGGAGGTGGCATTTTCTTCTTAGATGCCAACCAGATATAAGAATGATGACTTATGACAGGTTATTTGGAGTTTGCAGTCAACATTCTTTAACCAGCATAGTTGTCACTGGAAATTGACGGCAAAAATCATGGGAGTCGGAAAGATTGTTCAATTTCATGCCCTATTACAATTAACAAAAAAACAAAACACTAGCAGCAATAGGCAATCTATAGTTAAAATAGAGGAAGAAACTTACCTCAAATGCACCACTAAAGCTCCATCGCAATTGATTTGACTTAAGCCTGGGGATGACGACTGATAGAACTGGCATCGTTGGCCTATACTTCGCAATTAATCTGCACACACACAAGCACTATATTTGAGGGAATTTGGGAAAGCAAGGGGGGCAGTAAAATTATATTCATGGCAGCACATGGAACAGTATCATTTTTCCTTTGTTTCATTTTTTCAAAAGTAAGGGGGTTGGTTAAACCATAAGGCTACATTCTGATGCAAAGATCCTTAAAACACCTTGCAGCCCTTCCAGATGAAGTGAAGCAGATAATAACAGATGCCTTCACTTTAATGGCGGCCCGTACCTAGAAAAGAAGTGAAGAACCAAAACTCATAAACGTAATAGTGGCATTGGAGAAAACAAAAGAATAAAGTAACAACACTGAAGTAAAAGTACCGCAGATGAAGCAATGGCTTCCAAGTGTGACATTGGTTCTCCAACATATTTGACAGTCTTCTTGAAGTACAGATCTTGATTGAAAACCTTTTCCGCCTTCATTATAATAATAATATGATACTTGCAATTAGCAGAAGTTCAAGCATAATAAATTCAGAGGGAAGAACCGCCAATGTGATTGTTAGAAATACATGAAAGAATATCATCATTTCAGAATGTTTTTAAGTGAAAGAGCAGCAAAATATCCATAGCTCTAAGGTGAAACATGAAGATAAAAACTAAGCGTAGAGATCTGCATGGTCTCCTCTTATATAATGCACAAAATACAGGAATCTCTTTCCTACCATGTCACCGTAAGGGCATTGTGGCAAAATCAGTATGACCTAAGGCATTTATAGTGTTGAATAAAAACAAACATCACAGTACAACCAACCAAATGAAACAAAGATTTCATTTTTGTTTTGTAACATTTGAAGTTCAAGAGCATACTTTATATAATGACCCAAAAAAAAAAAGTTCAAGAGCATTTATTGTAACCGATCCCAGAAAAAATATCTCCCAGCACATTAGGATGATAAAAACACCAAGGACGAGATGCATGATGTGTCATAAAAGCAGCAAAAATAATCATGAGATAAAATCTGGTAGATGGAAGGTACATAGAGTGATACTAGACTATCCAATCATTTTAGAATTGAGCCAGGACACATCATTCAAAAACACGAATTATGTAAAAAACATCTTTCCAATTGACCTTTAAAAATATGGGCATCCAAGCACACTAAGAGGGAAAAACAAACAGAGGAGATAATACAAGATGGCCAACACAGGATAACCATACAAGACAAAGGTAAGAACATTCTAAAATAGCACATCTCATTATCAACGCATTATGAGGCATCAGGAGTTCCAAGCATGGAAAGTAACAGAATATAACCTGCGATTTAAAGTAAAATTCCACACAGAACAGATGTAAAATAAAGTTTCTCCAAAAACAGAAAATTTCATCAGCAACATTAGGGGCAAAGTCTTCACCTCGGCACAAATTTTACCCACGATAGAAATAGTCTCAATAGGGTATAACCCTCTCAAAGTCTCAGCACCAAGAAGAATTGCATCACTGCCTGCACAATTTCAATGTCGTATAAATATCAGCATACAGATTTCCATTCTTTATTTTTCGGTAAGGACAGATTTTCTTTTAACTATCTGAAAAAAAGGCAAACAGCCACCTGGTGGACATCAAAACAAGAACAGAGGGAACACTAATACAAGGGCACCAAACCAAAGATAGAGTATGTGTAATCACAACAGTATAGAGAAACCAATAATAAGAAGACCTCAGTGGACAACTACAAACCCATCCTTTGACTGGAAACCATGGCTTACCATCCAAAACAGCATTGGCAACATCAGTTGCTTCTGCACGAGTTGGTCTCAAATTGTCAGTCATACTATCAACAACACGAGTTACCACTGCTGGTTTTCCGGCCATGTTACACTTGTAAACAGCAGCCCTCTGAAACAAGAACACCTGCAAATTCCACATAGGCGATACTTAATTAGCAGAAGATCCTATTCAAACAAAAAACAAAAGAAAATTAATAAATAAGTACCAATGCACCCTCAAATATATTCAAACAAGGACCTGGAAATATCATATCTGTTATAGGAATATCAAAAGCCAAAAAAAATAAAGAAACTTCTCCCCTTTAAGAGGAATATAAATTGAAGATGCACTTAAGGAAATGAACAACTATGCCATTGGCATATCATGCATGCAAATGTTCAGGTATTATATATGCGACACACATAAGATGTTAACCTTGTGTTTGTGGCATAACCGTATAGGAATATTGGCATAACCGTATAGGAATATTGGTAGGGTCACGCATAATGAATGTCTACCTTTGCAAGCGACTATGTGAATGCAAACACTGACCATCCAACATCCCAATTTGTGCAGTAAAATTATTTTTCTCTAAATTACCAAAACTAACCTTCTCAGGAGGGAGATCGATGCCAAGATTTCCACGTGAAAGGATGATACCATCTGCTTCTTGTAGGATCTCATCAAAATGGGTCAAACCCTAAACATGTAAAAAAATGCATAAATTCAAAATCTCGGAGAAATCATCTAAAATATAGTGCCAATCTCATATGAGCTTTTAAACTATAAACTCACCTCTACATTTTCAATTTTTGCAAAAATTTGAGTCTGACTCAAATCACCGAGCTTAGATAGATATTCGCGGGCCTATGCTATGGCCAAAAAAAACCAAGTTACTATAATTACTTGTACACCCAAAATGACTAGAAAAAACAAAAAGATTTAGGAAATTAAAGATAAAAAAGGACAACTTAGCACACAAAGCCCCCCTCCCCCTCTCCCGGGGGCATGGTGTAGGACGGGTCTAGTCCCACAAGCAAAAAAGGAAATAAGATACACAACATCAAAAAATAAGGCAATAAAGCAAGAATGATCCTTACCTCACGAACATCTTCTGCATGCCGTGTATAGGATAGGGAGAGGAAGTCAATTTTATTTTGAACACCCCATGTACGAATAACCTGACAAGAAATAGATGTCACCCAAATATAAGGTTTATAATTATATAAGAGAGTGGGCATGGCAGAGAATGAAATCTGACTGGACAAAAGGAGGAAGATTTCTGCATGCACGTGTTGCCAAACTTCGAAGAAACCATGCAGACTTCAATACTAAATTATTGATCAAGGTCCAGATCAAATACATGGGCAATATGAAGCTTAGAGCTGTATCATAACTATCAATTTATGGCCAACCCATTATACTTTGGTATTTGGTCGACAATAAATTAAAATTAATAGCGTGGTGTTACAGATACAATACACACCGTCACAAGAAATAACACCTGCACGTGTGCACGAGCACAAACTTCCCTATTCTTAGAATGTATTGCTTACAAACAGAACTGACCTCCTTATCTTTATCCGAGAGGGTAGGCAAGTCAATATGAATCTGAGAGGCATGCAGAGTGAACAATGATCCAGCCAAGGTTGCAGAGTTCTTTATCACACAGACCACATCTTCATCTTTTACTTCATCTACCTGTTCAACCGATTAAAAAACTCCCATCATGCATAGTAATACTTGATGACAATGTACAGTTTGTGTTCAACCTAAGGTAAAAACATCTACTACCATAATATTTCATGTTATATTTAATCAAGCCAACTACCAAATAGCATTTGAGCCCCACACACTGTTTGACACTAAGGAAAGAATCTAACCAACACCCACCTAGACCTCTTTTCCCCTGCCCACAAACACAGGGAAAAAAGAAAAAGAACCAAAGAAATAAAAGCTAGTCAAGGACAGTAAGTATTAAGTTCAATGTGACTATCCACGCTGGATGCTTCCTACCTCCAGCCAAACAGAAGTAGTTTCACTTCCTGTGAACAGGTATTGACCAATAAAAATGGTGTCTCCCTTCTTCACAGCCTGCAAAAACCAATATCCACAGAGAGAGGGTAAGTATGGAGACGGAACATAACATCAATAAACAAATTTGTTATGCAGTTGTAGATCTAAAAATGCTTCTCCACAGATGTATATTATCAAGAATGCTAGCAAAAGAAAAGTTTGGGATACATTTGGGGTTTTCAAAGTAAGATCCTCTTTAACTTGCAACACCCATAATCATACGATGTCATCAGTATCTGTCTCCAAACATAAAAATGACCACGCAAAAAAGATGATAACATTACTAGTTTTACACCTCTTCTGCAAGCACACATATCGGTAGTATTGGGGAATTAAGTTATCCGAATGACGTAAGCAAGTTCCAAAATAAGGTCAATGCATTAGTAGTTTCACACACTTGCATGCTTGCAAAACCATTTTTAAGGAATGGTTCTGGCAATCCTAGCCCAGTGCGTAAAATTAGTGGGAGTGCAGATCAAGTTCCCTCATTTTTTCATGCAAACAATTGTACATTATAAACATGGGATGAGCTACATATACCATTAAATAATGCATCTCAGTACTCCAATGAAGCAAACAAAAACAATTCCAACAGATCCATGAGGAAATGGAAGTGTTCAAACTTCAAACCTTTGATAGTCCAGTAAAGTTGATTGGCAATACTTCCGAAGAGGCTTCCTGGCGCTGATCAGGTGTCAAAATAACAGTACCGTCTGCCTTAAGTGAAATAATTGTCTCATTTTTATTAACAACCTGCAACTCAGGACCAACGGTGTCTAGCATAACCTGGAAAAAAAAAATCATGCATTCTCACTTCCTTTTTGTACATACATATAATGCAATTCAGATTCATAGAATGCACTCAATTTAAACATCCAGATGTGGCAAGCAACAATAGAACCATTAAGAAAGGCATGATATGGACAACTCAGTTGTCATGTGAGTTTAAAAGTGAGTCGATTTTCTACACCATAAACAATATGTTGCAAAATACATGGAAACAAAATTAGTAACTTCAGAATAATAGTATTGAATCATCCTTGGATTTAGCAACCCCAATTCAGCTCAATCTTATACAACTTTTTGCCCAAGTAGAGTTGAGTGCTTACAGTTTCTCAGTGACCATACACGAACATATTTCAAAACCAAAGTTTCTTCCTATTTGCTTTAGTTTTATTATAAGCAAATATAGGAACATATTTCAAAACTGAAGTTTCTTCCTATTTTTTGCCCAAGTAGAGTTGAGTGCTTACAGTTTCTCAGTGACCATACACGAACTTATTTCAAAACCAAAGTTTCTTCCTATTTGCTTTAGTTTTATTATAAGCAAATATAGGAACATATTTCAAAACTAAAGTTTCTTCCTATTTTCTTCAGTTTAAGCAAATTAAGGTACTGGATATAGCAATGTACACTATCAAAATTTTAAAGAAAAAAATATATATTTCAGCACAAACAAAACTCTAGTTTAAGTATTTTTTCTCCTCCATCATTTAGGCCAATGGTCAGAAACCCAACCGTGGCAATAAGGAACCAAAACCCTAGATATGATAATCACAAATACATACAGCACAGAGCTTCTTGGTGCTTTTAATAGCCGCCTTCAAATTCTCCAAAGTTTCCTGGTGATACTCTGGGCCCGCCCACGAGAAGTCCAATCTAGCCACTGCCAAACCACATGATTCACAGACCACTAATCAGAATCAAACGCCAAAACCGGCGCCAAAAACCATGACAATCCAGTATATGTGTACACATAAGTGAACAGATACCTACATGTGCGTACATAATGGAGAATATCAAAATTAAACATAAATTGCATATAAATGATGCTACTTGAACCTAATATTCTGACTTAATCATTCATAATCATTGGATTGACAATGAATCCTACTATTTGTTGGCACCTGCAACCAATCCAATGGTTATAATCGAGTAGGTCAGCAGCAAATTAGGTCCAAATAGCATTATTGATCGCATGATATACCAGACATTCCAGCTTTAAGGCAACGGGAGATAACGTCGACGGATCGAGACCTGGGGCCCAAAGTCCCCACGATCTTTGTCATTGCCGGGAAGAAACTCTGCACATGCACACATCAGCATCAATAATCTCCGAAATCGAACTTCCAAATAGTGCATATACGTACACGTTCACACACATATACATAAGTGCATACAATAATGTTATGACTCGGTATACAGATCTACATCAAATTAAGAAAGAGAAAACGAGTGATTAAGAGTACTAACAGCTTTGGATGGCTCGAGGATAGTGGCCATCCTTATAGGCTCTTCGAGAAGCAAGTGATTCGAATGCATTTTTTCCGGTCGACGACTAAAGACCTCTGAACAGTGACTTATGCAGATAGAGATTTAGACAGAGAGAGAACGTTATTCGATTGCAGTGTGAATGAGTGCTTGCTGGTTCTGCGTGACTAAACCGAAAATGTAGAGAATGAGAGAGGAGAGAGAGTGTGTTATTAGAGGCTTGACCTAAAGAATATGCTTTGTTCGCCTTTTTGGTTCCTACTTTGAGAGAAAGAGCATTTATGCAGCGGGGGATTTCTTGCTGCCAAAGACATTTCGGACTTTTAGTAGATGTATTCCGAGGAAATTAAATATTAAATTATGGTATTTTTTATTTAATTGGTTATAATATTTTATTTAATAAATAAATTTGACATCGTATTAATTTCAAAAATGCATACTTATTATATCCTTATCATATATTTTTTATACGTTAGACCTATATAATCTAACTCAAACGTATTATTTTATACATTTATTATTATAACTATCTAACTGATAAAATCAAATTGTCATCGATGTAACAAACACTGATTTAGGATATTTTTGTTTATTCAATATTAATACGATAAAATAATTTTTTAACCAAATAACTTATTGGATTAAATAATTACTATCCAACGTTTATGTTGTGTATTGTCAAACACTAGATAAAATTATGTATTATTCTAATATCATATTTAGTCTTATCTTTTGTCCTTCTATATTGTATTATATTAAATCGAATTATTTTATCTAATCCATCTATTTCTAATACGGCAACCAAACGAGCCTTTCGTGTTATAATTACGCCAAAGATATTTTTCTTTACTTCATGTTATAATTACATTTATTTAAATTAAATTTTTTTTAATTTTTTATTATTTTATTTAATATTAATTTAAGTCTATCCTTACGTCTAATGCCATTAAAAAAAATTTATATGAAAATTTATCAGTAATTATGACAAATAAACATCACGTGAGCATTAAGTACTTCAATCACATATATAATTTTAACTAAATTAACATATATATAAGTTAAATCTTTAAAAAAATTAAATTAATGTAATAGCAGCCAATAGAACAGTGTGATAGTCCAGGGACCTTGGTACTCTGCTGGTGCACCCGATACATATAATACACCGCCTCCGGCCCTCAACAATTGAGCAGTTGAACTAGTGCTCTCCCACGCGCCTTAGTGCTCGTGCATAATATAGAATGTGTACGTGAGAGTGGATTCAAGATTTATTGAGCAGTACTTGAAAATTTCCAATAATTTTAGTTGACCAATAGGACTTGAACTTAATTTGCTGAATTAGTATAATGGACTTCATATTTATTGAGACCTATAATCAATTTAATTAGTTATTAAAAATTAATTTAATAAATTAAATCTAAATAATATAATAATTTTAAATTATATTCCTTATAATATTTTTTTATCTCCTTTCTTGATAAATCATTTATCATTAATAAGATCAATGCGTACTTCTTAAATTCACGATAAATTATCTCTTAAAAATAATAAAAAAAAATTATTGGATTAGATCTGAATGCAATAATTTTTTTATTAAAATTACTTTTCAATTGACCGTTAGATATTTTTTGTGGTTTTATTATTTTATGTTGATGGATATGCAGGGAGGAGGTGTATCCAAATTTATACTATTGATATTAAAATTTATATTTTCTTGGACGATTTTTAATATTGCGTGTTGATTTTGTGTATCTATAATATAAAATAGGATAAATACCCCTAATTTTTCATAAAATAAATTAAAAAAGGCGTTCATGGGCGACTTTTTAATTTTATGAAACTTTCTTTTTTTAGATTAATTCAAATTTAGTTAATTTTAGAGGAAACCATTGATATTGCGCGTGCTGAATGTTTTTATGGAAATTGCGTCACGTGTTGTATAAAAAAAACTACACGTGTTCTAATGTGTGCTTAGCACCGAGCCCCACGACGGTCAGCTTTATTTTAAGTAAACGGGTGGTCCCAATAAAGTGACATCTTTCTGTAGGTTTATATGTTAAACCCCATGGGCTGTCGTTTTAATGGACGGTCACATGTGTGCAATTGTGACATCAAAAAACAAAACAATGAGTCCAAAGACCACCTCGGACCATTTTCGGTACGTAAAAAATAAAAAATAAAATATTTAATTTAATATAACTCTCAAATAAATGAATAAAAAATTTAAAAAAAAAAAATCATGTTATCCCAATAACTCTTTTTATTCATTTTTACCTCCAAAACATTATTCTAAAATATTTCATAATCATCCATTATTCAAACATTGAAAAACAAAATAAAACCAATAAATAAGACAAAAAAGAAAAAAAAAAGTCAATTAAATACTAATATTTTAACAACACAAACAAATAGAACAACTACAACTAAAAAAAATGAATAATGTGCAACTGCTAGAAGTTAAACAAAGCCCAAGAAAAAAAAAATCTAAATCAATATGTACTGCGTTTGTGGCAAATTCGTTTATACATGATTCTTATGTACTGTATTTGTGAAAAAATTCCATCAAGCGTCTCTTGTGGTAAATTGAAAATTCTAAATTCATGTGTCCATAATGAAAATTCTAAATTCCATTAAGTACATGAAATATTTATAAACTATGAGTAATTTGTGTCTGAAGACACGGTTTAATGTGAATGATTTCGAGAGGGATGTTGGTGACAAGTGAATTAGTTTACTTGAGACAGTCAAATAAACTTATTAAAATCTGACAAATTTTATATTATAGATATATATATTTTTTTCAAAAGTGTAGAGATGTATACAAAGATTCCTATATAGATGTATATATTTTTTCAAAATTATATAGATGTATACATAAATTCCTATATAGATATATATATAGATTCCAATATATGTTGTGTTTGTGAGAGAAAGAGTGTGTGTTTACCTAAAAAGTGGCCCACCTACAAACACAAAGATGAAGCGCTCGTGAAAAGAAGGAGATAACATATTTTTTACCGTTAAATGTTTTTGGGTTTAGGTTTGAAATCTCCCTTAATTTGAGTTTAGAATAAATTTGAGTTTGGTATAAAAATTTGGGTATAAGACTGGAGCAGGTTTTTGACCTCTTTTTACCCTAATTTAAATTTAGATCTAAAAAATGGTAAGGACCGGAAATCCCCTAAGAACATCTCAAGACTCAAAATTTTACTCAATTTTTAATTTGAGTAAAAAAATTAATTTTGTATAGACCATTCCAATGAAAAAAGGCTTAAACTTTTACTTAAATCTTTTAAAAAATTCTCATAGTATCCCAAAAACTCAATTTTTAATATTTTCCACCAAAACATGTTTTCTTTTTCTCTTTTTTTTTTTTTTATCTTTCCATCCAAAACCTCTTTCCCTCTTAATGTTTCCTCTCCAAAATTTACCCCTCCTTATTTTTCACCCATTTAAACTTTTCCCTCCAAATCATCCAAAATTTTCTATAAATAAGTTACATCCTTCATACTCTTTTTCAACATTCTCATAGGGATGAAATGTTCAAAATATCTTTGGCTCAATTCCTTTTCATCTCTCATCATCTTCTTCTGATGATGATGATGATAATTGATGGAGCTAAATATATCCTAGAGTATATCAAGTGTCAAACACAAGTACATGCCAAGGGGAATCACAAGACAAGCACGTGGGTTGGATCTGGTGTAAGGAGGTAGCTCCAGAACCCAAACCAACCCACTAGTTTGCTCGTTCACATCCTATCATTTTAGCTCAAATCAGTTGTAGATACTTGAGAGAGGAGGTTCTACATTTCTTGCCACCCAGTTTGAAAATGAGCTACAAAGCTCTAACGATAATAAGAACTTAGCCTATAAAGGGAAGGAGGCAGTTATGCCCCAAGTAAGTAACACCTCATAGCAACACTCTATCTTATCCATAATTCTTTTACTGACTTTATCATTGGAGGGTCGACTACCAAAGCCCCTCCGGCCCTCAACTTCTGTGCAGAAATTCCCCAATGACCGCCAGATCATTGCTTTGCCTTGGTATTATTTTTTCGGGAACAACAGTTGACACTGTCTGTGAGAATCGACTTGATTTTCAGCGATAAAATTTAAGTCACATGGTCATTACAAGAGCATTCAAGGATCCTGCAAATCGATCAGATGCAAGAATGTCCTAACTCCCACACAGCGAGACGAAGGAACGTTCCACTACTAGAAAAGGAATTCGCAAAGGTTAAGTGATTGGAGAAAGCTATTGAGGATCTAAAAAAGAAAAACCAACAGACCTTTGAGCTCCCAGAGCAATCTCAAGCCAAGGAGCATGACGTAGATAATCAAGGGGATAACCTGAGTGAGAATGAAGTATCCTATCCTTGTAATAATGATCAATGGGAGCAAAAATTCTAGAACGTAAACGAAAAGCTCGATTTCCAGAACCTATTGAGGCTCTTGTTCAGCATACCAAGTCATCGTTTTCATAAGATGTGGAAAATTACCCTTTCTAAGAGAGGTTCAAGATGTCAACTGTTGAGGCGTTTGATGGAATCAAGGACCCACTCTATCATCTCGAGACTTATAGTTCTCTAATGATGCTTATATAATGTGCTAGACCAAATTATGTGCTAGGCCAAATTATGTGTCGAGTCTTCGCTACCACACTTAAGGGGATAACAAGGCATTGGTTCAACAAGATGAAGCTAGTCTCGATCAACATATTTGGAGAATTAAGAACCAAAGAGAATTCAGATTCCAGAATAGACTGAGTAATGAAGAAAGAGACCTTCTAGAGGTCCCACTTTCAAACTCAGATGTTGTGAGTATTATGGAAAACATGTTGTGTCTTGACAATAGACAAGATCATTTGTCAAGTACTTGCAAGAATGTCGGATTATTGCCCAATATACCACATCTGGTAGTCTCGAGCAAAATGATGTGACTAAAAGGTGTAACTGCTCCCTTAGAAACATGATGAGGAACATGATTAGTAAGTGTAATTTACCTAATTATTTTTAGGGTGAAACTATTAAAACAACTTTGTACATTTTTAATAGGGTACCTAGCAAATATGTTTCAAAAATATTTTTCGAATTATAAATCAATAGGAAACCAAGTCTTAGCTATTTTTGTGTCTAAGGTTGTCCTGTTGAGATCAAAATCTATAACCCTTTTACAAAAAAAAAAATTGTCTTTGCAATTTGTATTCTTAGTAGGTATATTTCTGAACTAGGATTAGATCATTGAGTGA